CCGCTTCTAGCCGGCCCCCTGGCCGTTCGCGCCCGCCCCTAGCCGGCCCCCTGGCCGTACGTGCCCGCCCCTAGCTGGCCCCCCTGGCTGTTGCGCCCGTTTCTCGCCGGCCGCCTGCTGTCGCACTCCTCCTAGCCACCCCCCCCCCTGGCCGTCGCGTCCGCCCCTAGCCGGCCCCCTGGCCGTCGCGCCCGTCCCTAGCCGGCCCCCTGGCCGTCGCGCCCGTCCCTAGCCGGCCCCCTGGCCGTCGCGCCCGTCCCTAGCCGCCCCCCCCCTGGCCGTTCGCGTCTGCCCCTAGCCGACCCCGTGGCCGTTCGCGCCCGCTCCTAGCCGGCCCCCTGGCCGTTCGCGCCCGCCACTAGCCCCCCTCCCCCCCCCTGGCCGTCGCGCCCGTCCCTAGCAGGCCCCCTGGCTGTCGCGCCCGTCCCTAGCTGCCCCCCTGGCCGTATGCGCCTGCCCCTAGCTGGCCCCCTGGCTGTCGCGCCCGCTTCTAGCCGCCCCCCCCCTGGCCGTCGAGCCCCTCCTAGCCAGCCCTCTGGCTGTCGCGCCCGTCCCTAGCCGGCCCCCCCCTGGCCGTCATGGCCGCCCCCAGCCGTCATGCCCGCCCCTAGCCGATCCTGCCGTCGTGGGCACCCCTAGCCGCCGTCGCGGCTGTCCCTGGCCGCCGCCGCGGCCGTGTCTCCTCGCCGTCGCGGCCGTCTCTACTCGCCGTCGCGCCAGCTCCAAGCCGGCTCCCGTTGCCGCCGTTTGCTGTCTCCTAGCGTCCGCCGTCCGCCAGCCGAGCCCTGCGTTTGAGTCGTCGCCGGCCCGCCGCCGCCTCGGGTTCGGCCCGTTCTTCCCAACCAGCACCGCCCTGCAAACCCCCCGGTATCGTACTGCACCGCTTTGTACCGCACTACACCGCTTTGCATCGCACTGTACCGCACTGCACCGCACTGCATCGCACTGTACCGCACTGCACCGCACTGCACTGCCTTGCACTGCACTGCACCGCACTGTACTGCTCTTTACTGCCCTCTATTGTCACTGATGGCGGAGGTGCTTCGCTTCGACATTGAGGGCCAACCGATTGAGTTTGATGCGTGGCTTGCTGACCTCCGTCGCCATCTCACTGGTCAGCGGCAGGATGGCCACTTGCTGTCTGTCCATCTTGATGGTACACTCCCCTGCCCTGACCCCCCCGCTCCACTGTCTCCTGACCCCTCGTCTGCTGAGTGTGATTCCGCTGCGGCCGCTGCCCTTGCTCGCTCTGTCTGGCTGTCCCGTGACGCTGTCGCACAGCTGGCTATTAGCAATGCCCTCCCCCTGTCCGAGCGACCTCGCTTCAGGTCTATCACCACTACCTAGGCTTTCCTAGATGCTGTTGTCCAGCGCTGTTCCACCCCGCCTGCTGCCTCGGTCGGTCGTCTGATCCTCCCCATGCTCTTCCTTGACCTTGCGTCGTTCCCCACTGTCGCTGGACTGGCCGCTCACCTGCGCACTATAGACGAGACCTGGTGTGCTGCCTGCACTCACACACAGCTTCTAGCCCACCAGCCGCCCCTCACCTCTACTCTCTACCTCCTAGCCACCCGCCTCCCTGACCGGCTTGCCACTGCTCGTGACCGCTTCCTTAGCGTCCACCCCGCAGACCTCACCCTCACTGACTTTGTTGACACCCTGTGCGCTATAGAGGCCCGCCACCACTCTATCGCTCAGACGAGCGATAATGTGCCGGTCCCTATCTTTCAGGGTTGCTCCCCTGCTTAGTGCACCTTCTCCGACGGTTCCGCTGCTGTGGCTGAGACTGCCGCTGCAGCACAGGTCCGTCCGGGGAAGAGTCGCCGCACCAAGGCTGGGCGTGGCAGCGGGGGTGGGGGTGCAGGTGTCGTTGGTGCTGGAGCTGGGTCTCCTGGTGGCGGTGCGGACAAGGGGACCCCGACAGGTGCAGCCGAGCAGCCGTCTCCGCAGCCGCCAGTGTTGCAGCCGGACTCGCGTCAGCCGCAGCAGCCGCAGCAGCCACAGCAGTCGCAGCAGTCGCAGCAGTCGCTGCAGCCGCAGCAGTCGCAGCCGCAGCAGAGACGGGCGAGTGGGCTCCCGCCTGGGTGGCCTGGCGCTGGTGGTAACGCTGGACGTGGTGGTGGTGCGCATGGTGGGCTGCCGGGTGGTGGTTCGGGTGACGCACACAGTCAGTACCTGCTCCAGACCGGTCCTCGTCGTGGCTTCGTTTGCGGTAAGATCGGTATCACCTCCGTCCGCTGTTTCGGTCGCCTGGACGACCTGTTTCGTCAGCGTTTCGGCTCGTCGCCCGAGCTCCAAGACTGGCACAGTTTGCTTCGTCATAGGGTTCAGATTTTTTATCTAGATATGGATGAGATTGTTACTGCTTTGCATGTGATGTATGCTGATGACTCTAGTGGGCTTCCGTCTTATTACCTCTTGTTGCCTAGTGTAGGTGTGCCTTGCTTAGACTCCCCTGCTGCGTCCGGCGTAGGATCCCCTGCTTTGTTTAGCCTTGGTGCTTCCGTCGCAGCTTCGCCAACAGCCGCCACTGCAGCGCTCTCCTTCACCCTTGACTCTGGCGCTTCCCGGTGCTTCTTCCGCGACTCCACCACGTTGACACCTATCACATGATCGAATGTGTCGAGGAAAGGTTGCACTATCGATCAGTACAAGGCGCTTTTATACTTCCAAAGTACATCAGGTAACCAGGTTTATCTTATCCCAAGGGAATAGACCCTTCTAGAAGATAGAATCACCCTGCGTATAGCCACGCGAGGCTATTGGCTTTAAGGGATTATGACAGGATTACGCTAGATATAGCGCACCAGTACATCCCGAGCCTGGTCGGTGATATAATGATGATAACAAGACAAACCAAAGGTTTGTGGAAAAGGAGAAATAGGAATCCAAATGGAATGAGATAAAAACCAAATGGATCAAGATGGAAAGAGGAATGAAGTGGAAAGGAGAAAGGAATGGAACGGGGTTGTACTCTCACACTTCCCCCCCTCAAAGCTGGGTGGTAGACGTGACACCCTGCTTGACAAGGTAGTCGCGAAGAGGACGACGAGCGTGGTCCATGTCGGATTCAGAGACCCAGCTATCCTCTGAAGGATCATAACCCTTTCAACGGATGAGAAGCTCTACGGTGCCATTCCGTCGACGGCGGTGAGCAAGCATGGACTCGACCTTGTACTTGGGTTCAGCATGGACGAGGATGGGCGGCGGCGGCGGCGGTTGGCGTCCTGAGAAGACCGTGTTGGGATCTCAGTAGGGCTTCAAGAGTTGGACATGGAAGGCGTTGTGAATCTTCCAGGTAGCTGGCAGGGGTAAGCGGAAGGTAACAGGAGTGACCTGTGCTTCAACGAGAAAAGGCCCGCAGAAGCGAGGGCACAGTTTGGATGGGAGATGGCTGATGTCAAGATTGCGTGTGTCGAGTAGGACTCGGTCTCCCACGGTGATGGTGTGGTCTGTGCGGTGGCGATCGGCTTGGCGCTTTTGTTGTTGCTGAATGTCGAGAAGGCGCTTGTGGGTCCAATCCCAAAGTTTGTGCATGGTCGTGATGAAATCATGAGCGGGTTGGACTGTGGCTGGTATGGTTGGCTATTGAGGTGTGAGTGGGTGGCGTCCGTAACAGAGGAAGAACGACGTCTATCCAGTAGCGGCGTGAGTAGCATTTTTGTAGGCAAACTCCAGGACGGGCAGATGCAAGTCCCATTTGGAGATGTCGTCCTTGCAGGCTACGCGAAGGAGTTGCTCCACAATTTGGTTGAGGCGCTCGGTCTGTCCATCTGTCTGCGGATGGTAGGCGGATGACATGGCGAGTTTGGTCCCGAGCAGTGACATCAGTTCTTTCCAGAATTTGCTGGTGAACTTAGGTTCTCGGTCCGAGATGAGTGTGGTCGGAATGCCATGTTGTGAGATGATGTAGCGAACAAAGAGTTGTGCTGTCTCCTCGGTGTGTGCTGTGGTGTGTGTCGGGATGAAGTGTCCCATTTGGAGAACTTGTCAATGACGATGAGGATCGCGTCATGTCCGCTCGTGGTAGTTGGTAGCCCGGTGATGAGTCTAGGCTGACCACTTGCCATGGCTGTTCTGGGACCGAAAGAGGCTATGGCAGACCTGCCTTTTTCTGCTTGCTGCTCTTCATCCGCTGACATGTAGTGCACGAGGTGATAAATTTCTGTACGTCATCTGCCATGTGGGGCCAGTAGTAGTGTTTGGCGATACCGGTGAGCGTCTTGTTGCTACCGAAGTGTCCCGCATACAGGACGTCGTGGTATTGTTCGAGTAGTAACTAGCGCAATGGAGGGTAATTAGGTACCCAGATCTTCATGGATCCTTCCCGGTATGCGATGTCGTTGTCCCACTGTAGCAGATGTCGCTTTTCTGCCAAGGGAATTTCTGGGTCGATGGTGTACCCGTGTGTGAAGAGTCCCTTGAGGAGTGGATTCATCTCTTCAACTTGGATAGCGGCAACGTGTGCAGGCCGGCTAAGCGCGTCTGCTTTGTTTTTGTGGCCCGGCTTGTACACGATGTCGTGGTGGAGGTGTGTCTCGAGGAAGTCAATCCACCGGACCTGCCGCCTGGAGAGGCTTGGTTGCGTCTTCAAATATTTTAGGCTGCAATGGTCGGTGTAGACTGTCGTCTTGCGTCCTTCGAGATAACATCTCCACGTTTTGAAGGCGATGATGATAGCCAGGGCCTCCTTGTCGTGTATTGGGTAGTTGATGTTGGGGTGACTTTATATGGAGTTGGGACCTTTGGGGTTGGGGAAATTCGTCACTCTACTGTAACAGCTGCAAATTGGTTGGGAACAACCAAGCTAGGTTGGCAAGGGTGGCCAACTTGGATGGATTGGTTGGGAAGGGACAAATGTCAAAGTTGGGGTTCCTATAGGGAGGGAATCTTTGTGCTTATGGGGTTTCCTTGGTTGGGGACTCTCTTGGGACCTTCCCTCTCATCCCTCTCTTCTATCCCAACCTTTCTCTTGCTCCTCTAATTCCTTGTGAGATTCTTGAACTTTGATTGAACTCTTGAGATTGAGTTAAGTTCTCCTCCTACAGCTTACCCCCTAGTGCGTCGAAAGCCATAGCGTCGCGAATACTTCATCAATCAACGTGATTCAAATTGGGAACGGTAGCTGAGATCAAGAGCTACAACATATCCAAGTTTCGCGACATTCCAACGGCTAGTGTTTTGTCGACGTCGTTTCTTGTGAAGACGACTTTTCTGTCCAGAATTTCGGATTTATATTTTGAGTAATTCTAGCTCCTAAGTTCACCTAGACTCTGTCCTTAATCCTAACAAGTGGTATCAGAGCTGTATTAAGGACGTTGAGAGGAGTCTACAGAAGTGTGAAGACCCTTCTAGACCCACCATGGCCTGTGGGTGTGCCTAAGTGGTGTTCTAAAGGTTGGATGTGTCTTCCGCTAAGGGAAACTCTGCCGAAATTTCGTGGACGCCGACACTTGTGAAAATATCGAGGGAGCTGAGTGTGGACAGCAAAGGGGGGCTGAAATTCGTCATTTCTCAAGGAGAAGATGAATGAGAGAGGAGGAGATGCTAATGGAAGAGGAGCTGTAGCTGAGAAGACAAGTGAACCGCCGCCATCAAAAGTTGAAGCTTTGGATGGCTCCAACTATGAGGAATGGAGCGGACGGATGAGAAGTGCCTTCAAACGCTACAAGCTACTGAAGATTGCTGTTGGGGAAGAGAAGATGCCGGAAGAAGGCGAAGCACGTGAACGGTGGATTGAGAAAAGCACGGTGCTTTTCGACCTCATCCTTCAATCGGTCAACAAGGAGATGTTCGAGCACATCAAGGATCTTGTGGAAGCGGATGATTCGGGTCCAAGGGCGTGGAAACTACTACGCGATGTGATTCAGCCCAACACTCTCCTGATGGTGATCGTGCTCGAGAAGGAACTTGCTGCCATCTCCATGCGACCAGGGGACGATGTGAAGCCGGTCCTTGACAAGATCAAGGACACCTATGCAAGGATGGCAGCAGCGGGCAGCAGTGTATCTCAGCTGCAGCAGTGCACCAAGATCATCTCGGTGTTGGACAACTCGTGGGATAACCTCATCCCCACCCTCAACTCTCAGCAAGATCAATGGACACCTGAGTGGCTAAGGCAGCAGATTCTGCAGGAGGACTTCCGCAGACGCCATGTGGGAGGCGGTGCTGCCACTAAGACTGCTGAGGGGTATGGAGCTGCAGGGCGCGGCAGAGGAAGAGGGGGTTGGAGAGGCCGAGGCCGTGGGAGAAGCTTTGGCAGAGGTAGAGGCCGAGGTGACTATAATGAGGGGCATGGGAGCTCCAGTGGCAGGGGGAGTACCAGAATGGAGGGCACCTGCTGGTACTGCAAGAAGGTCGGGCATCCTTGGTTCAAGTGCTTCAGCAGGCTGGAGGGATGGTCACCTCCAGGCATGAAGCCGCCAAGTGGTGAACGCGCACAAGGTGGCGCTGTGCAAGGCTCAGGTGCACAAGGTGAAGGTGCACAAGGTAACGCCTATCCTGGGATGTATCTCATGGTTGAGGATGTGCATGGGCATGAGGGTGATGTGGGATCTGTCGGAAAGGTTGTGATGCACCCTCTCACGCACTGGGTGATTGATTCGGGTTGCACCAGTCACATGACTCCACGGGCAGATTTGCTTGATGAGGTAAAACCCCCTGGGAAGATTAAGTATGTGGCAGCAGCGTCAGGTGCTTTGCTCCCCGTGATTGGTGTTGGGAATGCCAAGGTTAAGGGAGCTAATGGGGAGCTTGTGGGGCTTGGGAATGTTCTGCTGGTTGAAGGCTTGTCTGCTAACCTTCTCTCTGTGCGACGACTGCAGAAGAGCAAGGCCGAAGTGACCTTTGGACCAACCAGCTGCCGTGCTAAGCTTGGGAAGAAGGTGCTGTGGAGTCTGGAAGAGGAGACCAGCTGCATCAAGGACCTGTGGCAGCTGCCCATCATCCCATGGAATGGGAAGACTCCAACAGCAGCAACGGCAGCAGCGGCAAAGGCAACAGCAGGAGGAGATGCAACTGCACCAACTGATGGGGTCCTGGAAGCAGTCAAGAAAGTGCAGCAGCAGCAGAGACATGGTGAGGTGCTTGCTGGTGTGGATGCGAGTGCGGCATGGGCTAAGGCTTCATCAAAGAGTGGAGAGGCCGATTGGGAGACATGGCATGAGAGGCTGTGTCATGTGAACTTCCCTATGCTGCAGAAGTTGGTGAAGGATGGGAGCCTGAAGGGCTTGGAGGTGAAAGGGGGAGTGAAGGAGATTGGGAGCTGCCCTACATGCTTGGAGACCAAGTTCTCCAAGTTCCCCTTCAACAGCACTACAGGACCAGCCAAGACCCCACTTGCACTTGTGCACATGGATGTGGTGGGGCCCACAAGAGCCCCTTCCCTCTCAGGCAGCCGCTATTTCTTGACAATTGTGGATGACCACACTCGGGCAGTGTGGGTTTACCCTTTGAAGAGCAAGGGGGAGGTGGCAGCGGCTGTCCTTAAGGAGTGGATGCCTAGAGCTCAGAGGGAATGCGGACACAAGGTGAAGGTGATCCGTAGTGACAATGGTGGGGAGTTCATTGGAGCTGATTTTGAGGGGGAGTTGAAGAGGAAGGGGATCCAGCATCAACTGACAGTGCCCTACAACCCGCAGCAGAATGGCGTGGCTGAGAGGTTCAACAGGACCCTGCAGGAGGGGGCACGCACTCTCCTTGGGCGTGCAGGGCTGCCTGATCCGTTTTGGGTGTCTGCACTGAGGCAGGTCGCCCTTGTGAAGAACAGGGTGCTGGCTACAGTTGGAGATAAGGAGTGGATCCCATATGTCAAGTGGTATGGGAGTGCTCCAGCTGTGAATATGCTGAGGGCATTTGGGTGCATGGTAGTGTTTCATGTGCCCAAGGAGAAAAGGGGGAAGTTGGAGGCTTCTGGAAGATGGGGTGTGCACTTGGGGATTGCAACGGATCACAAGGGGTGGCTGCTATGGGACTTGACCACCCAGAAGTTGACAGTGTCAAGGGATGTGAAGTTTCTTGAGTCCCTGTACTACAAGGAATGGAAGCAGCAGCAACAGAAGCTTCCATCTACACCGCTCATTGTGGAGGCAGATGAGGTGCAGCACCCTTCAAGACAGGTGGAGGTTGCAGTGTCAGAGGAGGAGATGTCTGGGGTGACTGAGGAAGGGGGAGCAGCTGAAGTAGAGCAGCAGCAGCAGCAGCATGAGTCTCCACCTCGAGTTCCACACCCGCCTGAGCGTCCTAGGAGGGATGTGCGCCCTCCAGTGAGGCTGACCTATGGGGGAAGAGGCAAGCCAAATGTGGTGCAGGCTGGGAGTGTGGTTGAGCAGATTGAGGAAGATGAGATCGCTCACTGCTACTGGGCACCAATCCCTGAGCCCAAGACTCGAGAGGAGGCCTTGAATGGACCAAATGGGGAGAAGTGGAAGGCGAGTGAGGATGAGGAGTTCGGGTCCCTAATTGAGAACGAGACATGGGACCTGTGTGACTTGCCTCCTGGAAAGAAGGCAATCACTTCCAAGATGATCTACAGGCACAAGTATGGACCTGAAGGGGAGCTGACCCGATACAAGTCTAGGCTTGTGGCAAGGGGGTTTCAGCAGACAAAAGGGAAGGACTATGATGAGGTGTTTGCTCCTGTGGGGAAAGGAACAACACTGAGGGTGCTGTTGGCGATAGCTGCACTCCTGGGATGGAAGATACGGCAGATGGACATTGTGACTGCCTTTCTGAATGGGATCATTCTGGAGGAGGTGTATATGAAGCAGCCAGAGGGGCTGGATGATGGGAGCGGCAGGGTCTGCAGGCTGAAGAAGGCCATCTATGGCCTTAAGCAGGCGCCTCGTGCATGGTATCACAAGTTGGAGGAGGCGCTGCTGGCTGGGGGTTTCAAGAAGAGTGAGTGTGACCCCAGCCTGTTCCTGCTGCAGGAGAAGGATGAAATCCTCATGCTCTTGGTGTACGTGGATGATATCCTTCTCTTTTCTGCATCAACTGCTTTGCTGGACAGCGCAGAGCAGATGCTGGAGATGCAGTTCAAGTGCTCCAAGATGGGTGAGGTGAAGTACTACTTGGGGATGCACGTGGAGAGAGATGTGGAAAAGGGTGTGCTGAGGTTGCACCAGAGGAAGTACTGTGAGGGGCTGGCTGAGAAGTATGGGCTGCAAGATGGGGGAAAGCCAGCAACACCACTACCTTCAGGGTTTACTGTGGAGCCATGTGCTGATGAGGAGGTAGTGGGTGAGAGTGACAGGAAGCTGTTTCATTCGATGGTTGGGTCGCTGAATTATGCTGCAAATCATACACGGCCTGACATTGCATTTTCTACATCACGGTTGGCTAGTGTGGTCTCACGCCCTAGTCATGAGCAGCTGGAAGCGGCCAAGAGGTTGGTCCGCTATGTGAGTGCTACGGCATCAGTGGGATTGGAGTACAGTGGAGTGAGGCAGCGGTTGCAGAGAGGTGCTGCAGATGTGAAGAGTGGTGAGATGCTCTTGAGTTGCTATACTGACGCTAGCTTCAACTCAGTGAAAGCGGATGGCACCAGCATTGGGGGTTATGTGTGCTTGCTAGGAGGTGGTGCTGTGAGCTGGCGCAGCAAGAAGCAGAATGAGGTGGGATTGTCCTCATGTGAGACTGAGTACATGGCCTTACACCATGGGGCCAAGGAAGTAGTGTGGCTAAGGCGTTTGTTGGAGGAGTTGGGAGTTGGTCAGGAGGAGCCGACAGTTGTGTTCTGTGACAATGAGTCTGCTGTGAAGCTCGCCAAGAATGCTTGTTTGCATGGGCTGACAAAACACATAAGGCCTAAGTGGCACTGGGTGAGGAGACTCCTTGATAAGGAGGTGCGGCTGGAGATAGTGAAGACCCATCAGCAGGCAGCAGATATTTTCACCAAGCGTCTGGCGGAGGCGGATCATTGGAAGGGCATGAAGCTTGCTGGGATGAGTGTGCATTGAGTATGCATGCTTGAGATGTTGGTATGGTGGTTGATGGTTGGCAGCCAGAGGGGGAGATTGTTGTGTGATGTCATCATATGTTATCACATTCTGTCTGCCTCCCATCCCTTGTTTCAATTCGCACGTATGGTTTGACTGTGTGTGAAAGAATTTGTGTGGTGTGTGTTCTGGAGTTTGGGAATGTGTTTTGTGTTATTCTGTCTGAGCAGGTATTTGTGATGATAGATCTTGAGAAGATCTTTCCGACGCAACAAGAATCGCGTCAATCGGAGCAAGAACGCGAAAGCTATGAAGATTCAAAGTTCATGAGCTTGCGTTACAATTGCGGCGGTTACAAAGTGAAGTTGTGGGGTGACTTTATATGGAGTTGGGACCTTTGGGGTTGGGGAAATTCGTCACTCTACTGTAACAGCTGCAAATTGGTTGGGAACAACCAAGCTAGGTTGGCAAGGGTGGCCAACTTGGATGGATTGGTTGGGAAGGGACAAATGTCAAAGTTGGGGTTCCTATAGGGAGGGAATCTTTGTGCTTATGGGGTTTCCTTGGTTGGGGACTCTCTTGGGACCTTCCCTCTCATCCCTCTCTTCTATCCCAACCTTTCTCTTGCTCCTCTAATTCCTTGTGAGATTCTTGAACTTTGATTGAACTCTTGAGATTGAGTTAAGTTCTCCTCCTACAGCTTACCCCCTAGTGCGTCGAAAGCCATAGCGTCGCGAATACTTCATCAATCAACGTGATTCAAATTGGGAACGGTAGCTGAGATCAAGAGCTACAACATATCCAAGTTTCGCGACATTCCAACGGCTAGTGTTTTGTCGACGTCGTTTCTTGTGAAGACGACTTTTCTGTCCAGAATTTCGGATTTATATTTTGAGTAATTCTAGCTCCTAAGTTCACCTAGACTCCGTCCTTAATCCTAACAGTTGAGTTCCGATCTGTCACAGGATCGAATGTGTCGAGGAAAGGTTGCACTATCGATCAGTACAAGGCGCTTTTATACTTCCAGAGTACATCAGGTAACCAGGTTTATCTTATCCTAAGGGAATAGACCCTTCTAGAAGATAGAATCACCCTGCGTATAGCCACGCGAGGCTATTGGCTTTAAGGGATTACAGCAGGATTACGCTAGATAGCGTGTCTAGAACATTCCATGCCTCGTCGGTGATATAATAATAATAAAGGAAGAAACCAAAGGATAATGGAAAATGGAGAATATGAGGCAAAAGGAGATGAGATAAAAAGAGGAATGAAATGAAGATGAAATATGGAAAAGGCCAAGTGGTGTAACGGAGTCGTACTCTCACACTTCCCCCCCTCAAAGCTGGGTGGTAGAAGTAACACCCTGCTTGACAAGGTAGTCATGCAGAGGACGACGGGCGTTACCCATGTCGGTCTCAGAGACCCAGCTGTCCTCAGAAGGCGGGTGCCATTCCGACGACGGCGGTGTGCAAGCACGGACTCGACCTCGTATTCGGGTTCATTTTGGACGAGGACGGGTGGCGGCGGCGGCGGTTGGCGTCCGACGAAGATCGTGTTAGGATCCCGATAGGGCTTCAGAAGTTTGACATGGAAGGCGTTGTGAATCTTCCAGGTAGCTGGCAGGCGTAAGCGGAAGGTAACAGGAGTGACCTGTGCTTCAACGAGAAAAGGTCCGCAGAAGCGAGGTCGAAGTTTAGATGGGAGATGGCTGATGTCCAGGTTGCGGGTGTCAAGGAGAACCTGGTCTCCCACGGAAATGGTGTGGTCGTTGCGATGGCGATCGGCCTGGCGCTTCTGTTGCTGTTGAATGTCAAGGAGGCGCTTATGGGTCCGATCCCAAAGCTGATGCATGGTTGTGATGAAATCATGTGCAGGTTGGACTGTTGCTGGTGTTGTCGGTTTCTGTGGTGTGAGTGGGTGGCGTCCGTAGCAGAGGAAGAACGGCGTCTGTCCCGTAGCGGCGTGTGTAGCATTGTTGTAAGCAAACTCGAGTACGGGCAGGTGCAAGTCCCATTTGGAGATGTCGTCCTTGCAGGCTGCTCGGAGGAGTTGCTCAACAATTTGGTTGAGGCGCTCGGTCTGTCCGTCTGTCTGCGGATGGTATGCGGATGACATGGCGAGTTTGGTGCCGAGCAGAGACATAAGTTCCTTCCAGAACTTGCTAGTGAACTTGGGGTCTCGGTCGGAGATGAGTGTAGTTGGGATGCCATGTTGTGAGATGATGTGACGAACGAAGAGCTGTGCTGTCTCCTCGGTGCGTGCCGTCGTGTGTGTCGGGATGAAGTGTCCCATTTTGGAGAACTTGTCAATGACGACAAGGATGGCGTCATGACCGCTGGAGGTAGGTGGTAACCCGGTGATGAAGTCTAGGCTAACCACTTGCCATGGTTGTTCTGGGACAGGAAGAGGCTGCAGTAGTCCCGCCTTTTTCTGCTTGCTGCTCTTCATCCGCTGACATGTATCACACGAGGTGACGAATTTCTGGACGTCGTCTGCCATATGGGGCCAGTAGTAGTGTTTGGCGATACCGGTGAGCGTCTTGTTGCTACCGAAGTGTCCGGCGTACAGGACGTCGTGGTATTCTTCGAGTAGTAACTGGCGCAAAGGAGGGTAATTGGGTACCCAGATTTTTGTGGATCCCTTCCGGTACGCGATGTCACTGTCCCATTGTAGCAGATGTCGCTTTTCTGCCAAGGGAATTTCGGGGTCGATGGCGTACCCGTGGGTGAAGAGTCCCTTGAGTAGTGGATTCATCCCTTCGACCTGAATAGCGGCAACGTGTGCAGGCCGGCTGAGAGCGTCTGCTTTGTTCTTGTGGCCGGGCTTGTACACGATGTCGTAGTGGAAGTGTGTCTCGAGGAAGTCGATCCACCGGACCTGCCGCCTGGAAAGGTTGGGTTGTGTCTTCAAATATTTCAGGCTGCAGTGGTCGGTGTAGACGGTCGTTCTTCGTCCTTCGAGATAGCATCTCCACGCTTTGAAGGCGATGATGATAGCAAGAGCCTCTTTGTCGTGTATCGGGTAGTTGAGTTCTGCCCCGTGCAGTTTCTTGCTGAGGTAGGCAATTGGTTGCAGTCCATTCCCCTGGTCTTGCATTAAGACTGCTCCCACTGCCTGGTCGCTGGCGTCAGCTTCGATTACGTAGTCGCGTTCGGGATCTGGCAAGATGAGCACCGGTGCGGACGTTAGTGCTTGTTTCAGCTGCTCCACGGCTTCCTGGTGCTTCGTCTCCCATTTGTAGGGCGTGTTCTTCTTCAGCAGATTCGTGAGTGGTGCCGCGAGTTTCGCATATTGTGGCACGAACCTGTTGTAGTAATTAGCGAAGCCTAGGAACTGCTGCAACTCCTTCACGTTCTCGGGTGTCTTCCACGTACGTACGGCTTCGATTTTCTTGGGGTCGACGTGAACTCCTTGAGCGCTCACCAGGTGTCCTAGGAACTGGACCTTTTCAAGGGCGAATTCGCTCTTGGACAGTTTGACGTAGAATCGTTCCCGTCGAAGAATTTCGAAGACGCGTCGCAGGTGTTCGACGTGCTGCTTCATGTCGCGCGAGTAGATGAGTATGTCGTCCAGGTACACCACCACGCATTCGTCCAGAAGTGGTCGTAGAATGTGATTCATTTCCGCTTGGAACGTTGCCGGCGCGTTGGTAAGTCCGAACGGCATGACCAAATACTCGTACGATCCGTACCGAGTTCGGAAAGCAGTTTTGTGGATAGAGTTGTCCGCCATCCGTATTTGCCAGTATCCGGACCGCAGATCCAGTTTGGAAAATACCGTAGCTCCCCGAAGCTGGTCAAGCAGGTCATCGATTCGTGGTATCGGATATTTATTCTTGATGGTCTGCTTGTTAAGAGCTCGGTAGTCGATGCACATGCGCAGGCTTCCGTCCGGTTTCGGTGTGAAGAGTACTGGGGCACCGTATGGCGAAGTGGATGGTCGGATGAGTCCTTTGGCTAGGAGATACTCGATCTGCTTCTTCATGTCGGTCAGCTCCGTAGGGCTGAGCCGGTATGGTGCTCGGAAGGTCGGCTTCGAACCCGGTTCCTCCACGATCTCGTGTTGATGCGTTCGGTATGGCGGTAGCTCGTTCGGAAGATCGTCAGGAAGAATGTCTTGGAACTCCTTTAGTAATTCCTTGATTTTTTCTGGAGTTTCCGAGGCTTTCTCTCCGTCATTCTCCACCTCTGTTGCTATCGCCAGGAACCCGGTGTTGGTCCGCTTCACGTCCTTCTCGAATCGTGCGAGTGTCTCCACTGGGATATCTCCAGTATCGTCCCAGTTGGGTAGCTGTACTCTCCGTCCATTGTTGTAGATGCTTGCGGTGCGGTTCACCCAGTTGATCTCGGGGTTGAATTTTTTCAGGAAGTCTCGCCCGAAGATCAAGTCAAGCCCTTTGATGTTGGTGATGGGGAGTGCAGGTCTCCAGCGCAGTGGTCCGATTTGTAGATGTAACACTGCTTCGCCGTGTACTGGTAACTTGCTGCCATCCACCATCGTTGCAGAGAATCCTGAAGGCTTGTACTCTTCCCGGAGTCGGTCGATCATTGCCTTGTCGCAGACGGTGTGTGACGCTCCGCTGTCCACGAGTGCTTGGAGGCGTCGTCCTTTGCAGATGACCTCGAGCACGAGGGGCAGTCGTTGCTCGGAGTACCCAAAGATAGTTTCATTGATTGGGTCATAGGGTACATCCCAATATTCCGTACACACCTTTGTGTTGTTGTCTACTCCTGAGCTGGCAGCTGGCCGAGGCTGCTTGGAGAACGGCTCTTCTCCAGGGCCCGGAGTTTCCTTGACGACTGTGCGCGTTACTGATGCCGAAGAACTGGATGCATCCGTAGAAGGAGTTCGGGGTTTGTGCAGCTTCTTGTAGACCCCCAGCTTCCTCTTGAGCTGCTTCAGCTCCACCGACGTCTTCCCTGGGGAGCGGGTAGTCGTTGTGGGCTGGTGTCGGGAGAGGACGTTGACTCCGTGGAAAGGTCGGCTTCTTTCCACACTCCTTAATTTGGTCCCCAAGTTGTCCGGTACCGGTATAATCTCCACAGCTGTCTGCTTCTTTTGGAGTCCCTCCCGAATTTTCTCCAAGGCTCTAGCTCCTCGAAAATCATAAGTTTTCATTAAAGCATCTTTATAGGATAGCTTTAACGAATTCTTATAATTTCTTGGGTCTTCAAGGAGTTTCCCCGTCTCGGCAGAGACTTTTTTCGCGGAGTCTGATTTTTCCTCGGCGAATTTCCCTGGCGAAGACTGGTCGTGGGGTGGAGATTTTCCCCCATCATTTCCTCCTTCTCGCGTCGAATCAGCTTCGTCGAAGTTGATTTTTCCGGAATCCCGCGGCCGTTTCCGGATCTTTTTATTTTCGCCAGCTAGATCCGCAATCACTGGCGACTCCCGTTTTTTGTCTTCTGATTGGCCGAAAGATTTCCGCCACTGTTGCGTGCCCGATACTCTGCGCGTGCGGCCTTCATTTTGTTGCAGTCGAAGATTCGGTGGCCCGGCACCCCGCAAAAATCACACGTGTAGTTGGTGTTTTTCGGACGTGGCCGCCCCTCGAATCTGTCGACTTCCATCGGGTCGGCGAACGTGGTGTGAGCCGAGCGGTCGCCCTGTCGCGTACTGCCGACGTGCGTCCGTCGTGTTCCGGCGTTGACCATGTCGAAGCGCTCCGCGGCCGAAACGACGTCACTGTAGCTCGCGTAGTTTGACGCTGCGACTTGTCGTTTGACTTCGGTCTTCAGCCCTGCGAGGTACGATTGCACTTTTTCCCCTTCGGTCAGGTCGGGAATGCGGTTATAAAATTCTTCCATCTGCTGCGTGTACTGTGATACACTCCCGAACTGTCGATGACGATGAATTTTTTCGCGGGCAAGAAAACTCGAATTTATCGGCTCGAATCTCTTCAGCAGGTCGGTGCGGAACTGCTGCCACGTGGCTTCACCGTGGATGAAGGTGCTGTTGCCGCCAATCCACTCGAGTGCCGGCCCTCGCATCAGTGTCGCCGCGAGTCGTACACGTTGACCGTCCCAGACTGGCGAGCTCCATCCGACGGCTGCGAAGTAGATCTCCATCCCGGCGATCCATCTGCGGGCGTCGGAGTTTCGATCGCTCGGATCGAACGGCTCAGGTGGGCGTGGTTTCGGAGCCTCGAGAAACTGCTGCGACTGCTGCGTCGTCGCCGTTGTCGTCTCGTGCTGCGCTCCGGCGAGTCGAGTTACTCGCTCGAACTGGTTTCGCCACGCTTCGCGATCCGCTCGCATTTCCTCCTGAAGGGCTGCGATGCGCGCGAAGAGCTGCTGGGTAACCTCGGCGTTGTCGAAGGTTGCCATCCTGTTCAAAACACGCACGGAGGGGGTAATTCGAAAATCGCGGAGCTGGTGCTTACCAGAATCGGCGTCGAATTGGTCGCCCCCGGCGGTTTTTCGAGGCAGGATCCCCGCTGCTGCTGCTTAGCTGAGCGCGGTCGAGTGAGAAAAGCTCTGATTACCAAGTGTCACAGGATCGAATGTGTCGAGGAAAGGTTGCACTATCGATCAGTACAAGGCGCTTTTATACTTCCAGAGTACATCAGGTAACCAGGTTTATCTTATCCTAAGGGAATAGACCCTTCTAGAAGATAGAATCACCCTGCGTATAGCCACGCGAGGCTATTGGCTTTAAGGGATTACAGCAGGATTACGCTAGATAGCGTGTCTAGAACATTCCATGCCTGGTCGGTGATATAATAATAATAAAGGAAGAAACCAAAGGATAATGGAAAATGGAGAATATGAGGCAAAAGGAGATGAGATAAAAAGAGGAATGAAATGAAGATGAAATATGGAAAAGGCCAAGTGGTGTAACGGAGTCGTACTCTCACACGATCCATGTAATTTTTTGCTGAGGTAGGCAATTGGTTGCAGGCCATTCCCCTGGTCTTGCATCAAGACTGCTCCCATTGCCTGGTCGCAGGAGTCAGCTTCGATGACGTAGTCGCGTTCGGGGTCTGGCAAGATGAGTACGGTTGCGGACGTGGGTGCTTGTTTCAGCTGCTCCACGGCTTCCTGGTGTTGTGGCTCCCATTTATAGGGCGTGTTCTTTTTTAGTAGATTCGTGAGTGGCGTGGTGATCTTCGCGTATTGTGGCACGAACCTGTTGTAGTAGTTAGCGAAGCCAAGGAACTGCTGTAACTCCTTCACGTTCTCGGGTGTCTTCCACGTACGCACGGCTTCGATTTTCTTGGGGTCGACGTGAACTCCTTGAGCGCTTACGATATGTCCGAGGAATTGGACTTTCTCGAGGGCGAAGTCGCTCTTGGATAATTTGACGTAGAAGCATTCTCGTCGAAGAATTTCAAAGACGCGTCGTAGGTGCTCGACGCGTTGTTGCATGTCGCGTGAGTAGATGAGGATGTCGTCCAGGTACACCACCACGCATTCGTCCAAGAGTGGGCGTAGGATATGATTCATCTCTGCTTGGAATATTGCAGGTGCGTTGGTGAGTCCGAACGGCATGACCAAATACTCGTACGATCCGTACCGAGTTCGGAAAGTAGTTTTGTGAACGTAATCGTCCGCCATTCTTATCTGCCAGTATCTGGACCGTAGATCTAGTTTTGAAAATACCGAAGCTCCCCGAAGCTGGTCAAGCAGGTCATCGATTCGTGGTATCGGATATTTGTTCTTGATGGTCTGCTTGTTGAGAGCTCGGTAGCCGATGCACATGCGCAGGCTTCCGTCCGGTTTCGGCGTGAATAGTACTGGGGCACCGTATGGCAAAGTGGATGGTCGGATGAGTCCTTTGGCGAGGAGATACTCGATCTGCTTCTTCATGTCAGCTAGTTTTGTGGGGCTTTGTCGATATGGTGCTCGGAAGGTCGGTTTCGAACCTGGTTCCTCCACGATCTCGTGTTGGTGCGTTCGGTATGGCGGTAGTTCGTCCTGGAGGTCGTCGGGAAGAATGTCTTGGAACTCTTTTAATAAGTCCTTGATTTTTTCTGGAGGTTCCGAGGCTTTCTCTCCGTCATTCTCCACCTCTGTTGCTACCGCCAGGAACCCGGTGTCGATTCGTCTCACGTCCTTCTCGAATCTAGCGAGTGTCTCCACTGGGATATCTCCTGTATCGTCCCAGTTGGGTAGCCGGACTCTCCTTCCTTTGTTGTAGATGCTTGCGGTGCGGTTCACCCAGTTGATCTCGGGGTTGAATTTTTTCAGGAAGTCTCGCCCGAAGATCAAGTCAAGCCCTTTTATGTTGGTGATGGGGAGAGCAGGTTTCCAGCGCAGTGGACCGATTTGTACGTGTAGCACTGCTTTGCCGTACACTGGTAACTTGCTGCCGTCCACCATCGTTGCAGAAAACGCTGATGGCTTGTACTCTTCTCGAAGTCGGTCAATGGTTGCCTTGTCGTATACAGTGTGCGATGCTCTGCTGTCCACGAGTGCTTGGAGGTGTCGTCCTTTGCAGATGACCTCGAGCACGAGGGGCAGGCGTTGGTCGGAGTACCCAAAGATAGTTTCATTGATTGGGTCATAGGGTACATCCCAATATTCGTTGATTCCTACTCCTGAGCTGGCAGCTGGCCGAGGCTGCTTGGAGAAAGGCTCTTCTCCTAGGCCCGGAGTTTCCGTGACGACTGTTCGTGTCGTTGACGAAGTTGCCGAGTTGGATGCATCCGAAGAAGGAGTTCGGGGTTTTTGCAGCTTCTTGTAGACCCCCAGTTTCCTTTTGAGCCGCTTCAGCTCCACCGACGTCTTCCCTGGGGAACGGGTAGTCGCTGTGGGCTGGTGTCGAGAGAGGACGTTGACTCCGCGGAAAGGTCGGCTTCTTTCCACACTCCTTAATCTGGTCCCCAAGATCTCCAGTACCGGTACGATCTCTACAATTTTCTACTTCTTATGGAGTCCCTCCCGAAATTTCTCCATGGCTCTAGCCCCTCCAGAATTACAAGTTTTCATTAGAGCATCTTTATAAGATAACTTTAACGAATCCTCATAATTTCTTGGGTCTTCAAGAAGTTTCCCGTCTTGGCAGAGTCCTTTTTCGCGGAGTTTGATTTTTCCTCGGCGATTTCCTCTGGCAAAGACTGGTCGTGGCGTGGAGATTTTCCCCATCATTTTCTCCTGTTCACGTCGAATCAGCTGCGTCGAAGTTGATATTTCCGGAAATCCGTGGCCGCTTTCGGATCTTTCCTTTTTCGCCAGCTAGATCCGCAATCACTGGCGAGTCCCATTTTTTGGCTTCTGATTGGCTGAAGGATTTCAGCCACTGTTGCGTGCCCGATACTCAGCGCGTGTGGCTTTCATTTTGTTGCAGTCGAAGATTCGATGACCCAGCACCCCGCAAAAATCACACGTGTAGTTGGTGTTTTTTGGACGTGGCCGCCCTTCGAACCTGTCGACTTCCATCGGGTCGGTGAACGTGGTGTGAGCCGAGCTGTCGCCCTGTCGCGCACTCCCAACGTGCGTCCGTTGTGTCCCAGCGTTGACCATATCGAAGCGTTCCGCGGCCGATACGACGTCAATGTAGCTTGTGTAGTTTGTCGCTGCCACTTGTCGTTTGACTTCGGTCTTCAGCCCGGCGAGGTACGATTGTACCTTTTCCCCTTCGGTCAGGCCGGGAATGCGGTTACAAAATTCCTCCATCTGCTGCGTGTACTGCGCTACACTCCCGAACTGTCGATGGCGATGAATTTTTTCGCGGGCAAGGAAACCCGAATTTATCGGCTCGAAACGTTTTAGCAGGTCGGTGCAGAATTGCTGCCACGTGGCTTCGCCGTGGATGAAGGTGCTGTTACCGCTGATCCACTCGAGTGCCGGCCCTCGCATCAGTGTCGCCGCGAGTCGTACGTGTTGACCGTCCCAGACTAGCGAGCTCCATATGACGGCTGCGAAGTAGATCTCCATGCCGGCGATCCATCTGCGGACGTCGGAGTTTCGATCGCTCAGATCGAACGGCTCAGGTGGGCGCGGTTTCGGAGCCTCGAGAAACTGCTGCGACTGTTGCGTCGTCGCCGTTGTCGTTTTGTGTTGCGCTCCAGCAAGTCGAGTTACTCGCTCGAACTCGTTTCGCCGCGCTTTGCGATCCGCTCGCATCTCCTCCTGAAGGGCTGCGATGCGCGCGAAGAGCTGCTGGGTAACCTCGGTGTTGTCGAAGTTCGCCATCCTGTTCAAAACACGCGCGGGGGGGCGGGGGGGGGGGGGGGGAATTCGAAAGAAATGCAGAGCTGGTGCTTACCAGAATCGGCGTCGAAATTGGTCGCCCCCGGTGGTTTTTCGAGGCAGGATCCCCCGCTGCTGCTACTTAGCTGAGCGCGGCCGAGTGAGAAAAGCTCTGATTACCAAGTGTCACAGGATCGAATGTGTCGAGGAAAGGTTGCACTATCGATCAGTACAAGGTGCTTTTATACTTCCAAAGTACATCAGGTAACCGGGTAGCGCACCAGTACATCCCGAGCCTGGTCGGTGATATAATGATGAAAACAAGATAAACCAAAGGTTTATGGAAAAGGTGAAATAGGAATCCAAATGGAATGAGATAAAAACCAAATGGATCAAGATGGAAAGAGGAATGAAGTGGAAAGGAGAAAGGAATGGAACAGGGTTGTACTCTCACAACACCGCTTCATGTCCCTGCCGTAGTCTCACTTGCTGACCCCTCCTCCGGCCCAGTAGTCGCCCGCAGTTCCACCACCCTCCCCTGCCCGGCGGTTCCTTCGGGCTCGCTCACAGGACTGCACATCCCCTCGTTCTCCAGGAACCTAGTTGGTGTCGGCTTCCTTCAGGACCTTGGCATCACCACTACGTTCCCTGGACACGAGCGGTACGCTGTCTGTCCCGAGGCCGCCACTGGTGCCCCCCTGTCCACGTTCCCACGGGACCCGGCGTCCGGTCTTTTCACACTGGACACGGTGACCCCCCCGGCTGGGACCCCCCCTCAGGTGACTGCATCTCCGCCGGTTGCTGCTGCCTGCTTTAGTCGGTCTCTAACTTACCCGACTCTTCTCTGGCACCATCGCGTAGGTCACCCTGCGCTCCCCCGTCTGCGTCACATGTCACAGCACTGTCTCGTCCTAGGCCTCCCCGGGTCGTTTCCCGAGTTTCCCTCATCCCCAGCCCCACCTTGCACGCCCTGTGTCGAGGGCCGGCTCCACCGTGCCCCTCACTCCTCCTCGTTTCCCCCTACCGCAGCACTGCTAGAGACCCTGCACATGGACCGTCTGGGGCCCCGCCCCCATCCATGGGCCGCGTCGAGAGCGCTACTTCCTAGTGCTTGTCGACGACTACACGCGCTACACCACGGTGTTCCCCCTAGAGCGGAAGGCCGACGTGCCTAACATTCTTATCCCGTGGCTTGTCTCTACGCGTGTCCACCGCGGACTCCCTGTCTTGCGTCTCCACTCCGACCGTGGTGGCGAGTTTGCCTCTGGTGTCCTTGGTCGTTTCTGTCGTGCGGAGGGCATCACCAAGACGTTCACCTTGCCGGACTCCCCATAGCAGAATGGGGTCGCTGAGCGACGCATCGGTTTGGTCATGGAGGTGGCTCGCACCTCCATGATCCATGCTGATGCACCCCATTTTCTGTAGCCGTTCGCCGTTCACTACGCCGCTCACCAGCTTAACCTGTGGCCGCACCCCCGGCAGCCTCAGGTTTCGCCGACCCTCCTTTGGTCTGGGTCACCTGGTGACGCGTCTTCGTTCCACGTCTGGAGCTGTCTTGCTCACGTTCTTGCCTCTGGCATGGACAAGCTCACTGCCCGCACCCTTCCCTGTGTCTTCCTCGGCTTCCCCCTTGACGCGTCTGACTGGCACTTCTACCACCCGCCGTCTCACCGGTTCCTTCACTCCCGTGACGTCACCTTTGACGAGTCCGTCTCCTTCTTCCGCCGCTTCCCCCACTGAGGTCCCCCGGTTACCCCCCCCGCCCTGTTCCTGGTCACCCCTCCCCGAGTCGCCGCCGCCCCTCCTCCTCCCCCTCCCCGTCCTGCCCCCTCTGGTGTGTCCCACGTGAACCCCCTTACATCGGTTGTCCCGGTTGAGGAGTCTGCTAACTCAGGTGGTCCTGCAGCGCAGTCCTCGCCGCCTGCCCCCTCTCAGGTGTCTCCTCCTTTGCCGTCTTCGCAGCCGCCGTCGTCACCGCCGCCGCCGCTGCCGCAGCCGTCGCCGCAGCAGTTGGTTGCCTCTGGGGTTGCTGGAGTTGGGGTGGGTCCTCGTCCTGGGACTCCTGTCGTGGCTTGTTCCGGCGGGCCTGGGGGTGGTATCGGTGCTCGCGGGGTTCTGAGCTCTGGGGTTGTTTCTTCTGGGGGTGCTGGCGTGGAGTGTTCTGGAGGTAGCCGCCAGGCAGCTTGCAGTCCCGGTGTCCGTGTCCCGCCACCGCCGCAGCAGTCCCCGCCGGTGTGCGCTCTTTGCCTGATCGGCCTTCTGTCCCCTATGCCTGTGCCTCCTCCTCCTCTTGTCTCCGGCCCTGTGTTCCCTCCTCCGGACGCGTCTCCGGCCCGTTTCCCCCCTCGTTCCCCTCCTGTGTCCCCTCCTCTATCTCCTGACCCGACTCCTCCGTCTCACGTCTGGTCTCGCCGTCCCTCCCGTGCTCGACCTGTCTCCCCTGTCTCGCGCTCTCACCCTATGTTGCTTCGTTCCCACGCGTCTCGTCCTCCCCTTCTCCCGTCGCCTCCTCCGTCCTCCCTTGTCGTTGCCCCCCCCCCCTCTGTCTGACTACTTGCGTGCCGCTCGTCCTCTTGTTCCTCGGGTCCTTGCCTCTCTCGTTACCGACCCGTCTGTTCCGGTTTCGAGCCTTGACGCCCTTGTCGCTGCGGTCGATGACTTCGCCTCTACCCGCCACCTTGACTACGCCACCGCTCTGGTCTCTGACCCTGCGTGTCCTTCGTCTGTCGGGGGTGCTCCTGCCCTTGGAAGTGACGTCCTGGAGGACCGTCAGTACGAGCTTGCTTTCCTGTCCTTGGAAGTGACGTCCTAGGCTGCTCCCCATCTCTGTTCCATGCTTCTAGTCCCTGAGGGTGACCCTGACGCCTTCGACATCCCGACCCCTCGCACTTACGCTGAGGCGGTCTCGGGACCGTGGGCCTCTCAGTGGCTGCCATGGAGCAGGAGATGGCATCTTGGAGATCCACCGGCACCTACGTCGACGCAGTTCTCCCACCTGGGGTGAACGTAGTCGATGGCCACTGGCTCTTCAAGGTGAAGCGCCCTCCTGGAGCGCCGCCTGTGTTCAAGGTGCGCTACGTGGCTAGAGGTTTCAGTCAGCATGAGGGGGTGGACTTCTTCCAGACCTTCGCTCCGACCCCGAAGATGACTACTCTTCAGGTGCTGCTACACGTAGCAGCTCAGCGTGACTACGAGCTTCACTCCCTCGACTTCTCCACTGCGTTTCTTCACGGCAGTCTACACGAGCAGGTCTACCTGCGCCGCCCTCAGGGCTTCACCGGTACCTTCCCTCTTGGGACACACTGGCTCCTGCGGCGCCCTGTCTACGGCCTGTGGCAGGCTCCCCGTGAGTGGCACGACACGCTGCGTGCTACGCTTGCTGACCTGCAGTTCTTTCCGTCCTCTGCAGACCCCTCGCTCTTCGTTCGTGCTGGCCAGACCCCGTTCTACATCCTCGTTTACGTAGACGACCTGGTCTTTGCCACGGCAGACAGGGACGCACTGGCCTCCGTGAAGGCAGAGCTGCTGAAGAGACACACTCGCACTGACCTTGGAGAGCTGCGCCACTACCTTGGCTTGCAGATCTCCAGGGACAGAGCAGCGTGCACCATCACTTTGACTCAATCACACTTGGTGCGCCAAGTCCTTCAGAGGTTCGGCCTTCTGTTCTCCTCCGCACAGCCCACTCCTCTGCTTCTAGACCATAGGCTCTCCGCTCAAGTTTCTGAGGAGTTTGCAGAGCCCAGTGGTCCTTACGCAGAGCTGGTGGGTTGCCTCATGTACCTGATGACTTGCACTCGCCTAGAGCT